ATTTGATATTAATCATCATGGTTGACTCCAGCATCTCCGAATCCAATCCTATGGTCAAGAAATATGCAGGAAATCTCATGATAGTATGGCACTGCAAAGTCACAAAACACCCAAGTTGGGGACAGTGGTCCATGCCAATGTGGATGTGGATGCTACCAGATGGAGGAAATGAAGACATCCAAAACCACGACAAATATAAAAAATAATTTTGTAATGAGTAATTTTTTAACTAACTTTGGAAAATGTTGCTACTTAAATATCATTCCTTTGTCATCCCTAATTCCCCCATATATTCCTTCCCACTCCCAAACCCTGGTCTTCTATACGTGTTGGTTCTTTAATCAAGTAAAAACAAAGTTAAACTGTGAGACCTAAAGTAGATGGAGCTAGGGGTTAAATCCTAAAATGACTTTGGAATATCCAAGACAAGATGCATGTTTTAGGAGTCTCAGACCTCATTTCGTTTTGTTCATTCATTCATCATTGAAAAAATATTTATTCTGTGCCTATTAGGCACAGAAGGGATAATTACTAGGCAAAACATTGAACCAGTTGTTGGAGATACACTAGTCCATGTGATGAATGTAGACTCTGCCCTCCTGATACATGTAGTCCCACAGCATTCCTCCAGAGGACATGAGGGGTCTACAGTTAAGCAGTCATCATCTGTCAACTTAGTGGGCCTCTGAATGATGCCTGAGCTGCATGAGGTTTAACAGAGTAACTCAGCAAGCCTAGGGACTGCTAATAGATTATATCATTTCTTGATGTTCTGGATTAGATTAACAAAAAGCTGCACTGATATGGATGTCAGTTGTTAAAAGTTGTATTTCTCTGCCTAAAAATAAATCCCAAGAAATGCTCCACATCAGTTCGTATAGATAATCCTTGTTCTTTTTCTTATACCTGTATAGTACTGTACTGTGTGTATGTATTGTAGTTTATTCAACCACTCTCCTTTATTTGGGTATTTAGTATGCTTCCAATATTTTGTGATTATGAATCATGTTGCAATAAAGAATTTATGTATATATCAAAAAAGAGTATATCACTTCTTAGGTATACAAAGTATTGAGGTACAAGCATATAGGCTAGAAATGGCTATAATACATTATTTGAGTGATTTCTATGAAATGTAAAGGAGTTTATAAATACAAATTATTTGCTTTGTGATTGCATTTGTTATAATACATGCACCCTTTTTTGTCCTTGGGGACCCTGAATAGCAAAATATATCTGTTTATTGAATTGATAAATAAAATAAATCCCAAAATTCTGACAATTGAGTGCACTGAAAGATGAAAATGAAATAATTGCAAAATTTCCACCCCCCACACATCTATTTTCATCCTTCGGTATAATTCCCCCTCATCTTTCCTTGTTATCAAGCTATCTGTAAGTTCCCCACCTACACTGAGGTCTTTGTAAGCCACTAAAATCTGTTCTACTCACTAACACAGCATGCTTCCTCTGAAGTCCTAAGTTCTTTAATTCACTCATCGGGTGGTAATTTCTCTAAAATATTTTCCCCATTTTAACCGACTTTCTCCTTTATCAATTTAAGACCCAATTACCTTTGTCCCTCAATTTTGGAATAAGGTAAAGCACATTTTATTATTTTACTACCCTTTCTCATAAGGTAAGCAGGTTATATTCAGCTATTATAGAGCACATTGGAGTTGAAGGTTTCGAGCCATGTAAATAACCTGTCTTAGAAGATTCTGCTAGACCCCATATGTGCTCACATATCCCGCTACATTAACTTGTCTCTAGTTTTAAGTTTTAAAAATTTGAACTTCTTAAGCGCAAGTGTCCTACTGCCTTTATATGTTCCCAAAACAAAAATGTGATGGAGATAGTGAATTGGATATAAGGAAGGATGGTACATAGGATTCAGGAACAAGGCCATTGAGGATGGTGTTGTGAAGCAGACTTGAAGTTTGGTTTGTTATAGTCCTTATCAATTCATTATGCCCAATGCTCACACCCTCTGGAGGAAGCCGAGAGACTGTCAGCTGCATGAGGACAAAGGCCACATCAATCACATGGACTCATGCATCCCCACAAACCCCTACAGTGTTCTACATATACTGGGCACAGAATAAAATTTTGTTCTATGACAAATAAATGAATGAAATTAAATGGGGTCTGAGACTCTGAAACATAGACTATATCCATCTTTTTATATAGTCCAGGAAAGACAGAGTAAGCAAATTGGAAAAGGAACACCTGCCAAGACTGTCAGTGGCTTGCCCTGGGTCTCAGCCTGAGGAGCCACAGTAGAACCCAAGAGAAGACTCCATGTCCAGTGCTCTTTCTAACACCCATCTCTTTAGTCTTGAGCTCTAAAATATTCTGAGTCTCATTCTTTTACAACTTACTTTGATTTTTTTTTCAAAATCTTAATAAACCACAGAGATATATCAGCTTCTACTCTCAGTTTAGTGGAGAATGAAGTCCAGTAATCAATGTGTATTATAATCAACAGATGGTCTTATATTAGGCCAAGAAAAAAAAAATAGCTGCTTAGAAAAAAAAGGGGAAATTAAGGTCTGGCTGGTATTAGACCTGGGTTACTTCAAACCCAAGAAAAGGAATGGTTCACCACGAGGAACCTCAGAAACCATCCACTTTAACAGCACCAGGAAACCTCTTGCCCAGATTTCAGCAGGGTGAGGGAACACAGACTGAATCCTCCCAGGGATGCCAGCAAGTGTCTCACTCACTAGCAGAATGCATCAGGGCTTTATTTAGGCCACTTCACCGGAGCAGAGGAGCTTTAATTTTGCTTTAATTTTGGACTTTTAGCCTGGCTTTGGGGCAAATATTTTCTTAGAAGTCACTTTCTTTTTATGAATAGGAAAAGGACAAGAGTCAATAACTTCCTGGCTTCTCTATGGAACATTCCCATATGTGACCCAGATGAGAGCATATATTTTTTCTTTAAATGGGATGCATGAGAAATTTTCAAAGAAATTTTTGGACAACTTCCCAGAAGACAGATCAACTGAGGATGTCAGCCATCCTGCTGCAGGGATTGGTGTTTTCAGGAGGAGAAAAGGCTCGAAGGTCACCTTCACAGCACTTGGCTGATAACGAACAGGCACTGTATAGTTAAGGCAGAGGGGGCAGTCAGCAAAGTGGGTGGTGAGAAAACATAGTAACTAGTTGTGACTATTGCAGACTGGGACCATGACAGGGGATTGACTTAGAAGTGCTCAGCCGGCCTTGCACAATTGCAGTTTGGATTTCTAGGTCAAACTACATTATTCCAAACACATGGACAATATCCAACTCATCTCATCCTGTCCTCAGAATTTTCACCACTGAGCTCATTCTCAGGGGTCATTCTAAGAATTTGTCCCAGGCTCAAGGAAAATTCATTTTAAATCTGTGCAACCAGGAGATTGTAAAGGTCAAAAAAAACATGGTGAACTACTTGACCAAAAATAAATAAATAAAAATCCTTCATCATGGCAACATGCTCAATCATACATAGCTGAACCAGGGGAATTTTGGCAAACTTCTTGAGAATGCAAAATTATGAGTGGCTTTCACTCATTGACTTTTGCTCTTTTCTTCTTATCTGATGCTTCTTTAGAACAAATTTGAACCATGAGGCTGAGACAAGCTGTAAAAGTTATATGTACTATTAGAGTAACATTCCAATTTAGAACCCTGAAGCTAGCTAAACTTCCTTAGTCCCGTGTTCTGTATGCTTCTCCCTGCAATGCTCATTTACCAACCTCACCTCCCCTTTAGGAGGCTTTGTGCTTTCTGGATATACCTTCCATGCCAGAGTACAATATCTTTAAGAAAAGGAATTATTATATTTTATCCTGGTATTCTCCCTCACCTCTGTCAGATCTCCAGTGCTTTCTTTTATATGTTGTAGACTTTCAAAGCCTAATTAATTTGAAGAGATAGAGGATTTTTCATTTATCATAAAGGATTTTTCAAATACTGAATTGGAAAAGAACTACTAATGTTGGATAATATTCTGTCTTCCATTAATCATAAAAATGTTCTCAAGACTGAGAGAAAACTAACTCTTATCAAAGCAGCCACATGGAGCATAGCTTACTGCTGATGTCACTCAGATTTTTTTTCTTTTTCTTTTTCTTTTTCTTTTTCTTTTTCTTTTTCTTTTTTCGGGGTTATCAGCCCAGTAATGACCTGCCAAACTCAGGAGTTAGGTGATTACTTCATATGAGTCATAGAATTCAGCCACCAGATAACCAAATTGTAATAATTGTCTTATTTCTATTCTCTTTGACTTTGCTTGTGTCGCTGGATAGAGGAACTGGCTACACTTGCTATTCATTCTCATCCCCTCTGTCATGTGAATGTAAAGACCCTACTACCAGCTGTTCTTGAGATGCTGTAGAAACAAAATATTTTCACTTCGGCTTCTTCTCTAAATTCTCAGCTTGCCAGAAAGAGCCCCGATGGTGGATTGGTTATTTTAAGACAATGTTTGGGGCAGGCAGATAAGGCACTGGTATAGAATATAGTCCTTCTAAATCCTGCTCCTGTTTCAAAGCTTAATTTAAGTTCCTCATGAGGCATTTTCTGACTACTTCCACCCACATTGTTCTATCGCCTCTTCATTTGAGCATAAGAAGCCCTTGATTGTTTTCTATCTTCATCTAAATTGTGGGCTTCGGAGATCAGGGACCAAGTTTCACACTTCTTTGGTATGGCCCATGATGTCTAGCACACTGCTAGACAGTGTTTAATATATATGATGGAATTTTTAATCGCTATTGTAGACTTGGATAAACCCGGCTGTGAAAATGATGGCTGAGTCTTTTAAAATTTTCTTTTACCAAAATAAATTGATCAAAGAGTTCCTTAGAGAATTTCAGATACTCCTATAAGCATTAAAAATATTTCAAGACTCTATGGAGTCCTGTTTTCAAAGAGATTACAATGCAGTGGAAAACTTGGCACAGGTATAAACATCCAACGGTATTTATATTTCTCATTACAAGGCCTACCTTGGGATGCCAAAATTTTCTAGTCACTAAATACTCTCTCCTAGTGGGCCCATATCGTCTGCGTAGTATTAAAAAATTCTCCAAGAACAGCATTTGAGGTTATTTATCTTTCTCTTCACTGTAATCCAAGCAGGAGCTTATCTGTCCTGTCCTACAAGGAAGAACAAGAGAAATATCTGTTTGATGCTCATGTTCCAGAGATGGATCCCTGGATGCAATATCTCAAATTCAGAAGTCCTCTCTCTCCAGTGTCAGTTAAATGGTGTTACCATGGAGAACAACTTCATTAACAAGAATTAGAAAAAAACAATAAGTACATTATAAGCTACATATCTGAGATTTACCCACAGCTAATACACTTGAATGAACTTGATCATTCTAACTTCCTGCTAATGGTAACTTGAGTTACCAAGGATGGAAATCACTTTTTTATTCTTATCATCTCTGGAGCTGGAATCTTAACAGATCGTCTAATTATTAATCCTTATTTTATAGATGAAGAGACTGACTCCGAAGAAGTAACTACCCCAAGTCACACAGGTAGTGATATTGCTGTAATAGAATTATCTGTTTGTGGATTTGGAAGGAGAGAGAATATTCCTTTCCAAACATTCAAAGATACAGATGCAAAATTGGATATTTTCAAATTTTAATGTCATGACTTTATAATCTGTATTTCCTATGGCACTCACTTTTTCCTTGTTTCATTATTATATATTTTCTTTCTCTCTCTCCAGGTGGCAAGCAGTTTGAGGACCAAACAAATCTAAATTAGACTGGTAGGTCTCTGCATACTCAGTGTCTCACACATATGAACTCACAAAAACTTGCTGAATGACCAAATGAAGGAAGGCTCTTTCAGGTTTTCCTCCAAGATTCAGTCCATTCTGAGATGGCAGCTGTCTTCTTTCTGAGTGGACAAAAAAAGAACAGAGTAGGGAAACAAAGACAGCCTTTTTATTCCCTTTCAGGGTGACTCAAATTGTAATTCTGATCTGAACAGTCTTTGTGGGACACAACTCAATGTCATATAATTCAGTGGTGCATTTTCCCATTTACACAAATTGATCAGATACCCCAAATGCTGAGTCTGTTATGGTTTTCATTTTATTCCTTTGGGAAGTGCCTGTACAAAGTTGTTTTTCTTTCTTTAATGGAAATGTGATCGTCATAGCAACTAAAAGATATAAATCTTGCCTAATTGAATCGCTGTGCTGGACATAATAGCCAGGGCAGGGACTGAACTAAAGCTGGGATGAGGGTGAGAGTAGGGAGTGGGTGAGGATAAAAATATTTGTGCCTCAGATTCTTGGGCTTGGATTAATTTTTTGTTTGTTTTGTAAGGAACACTGTTGGTCTTCAAATGCAGGGCCACTTGGGAGGGAAGCAGGTCGGAGCAGTATTTGGGGTGGACCTGCAGTTGATTAGCAATAAAACGTTGGTTATGTGTATGGGGACAGCCTCTCGACCATGTGGTCCCCTCCCTATCAGGAGGATAAGGACATTTGAGGGAAGTGGATGCTGTTGGAGGCCGGAATCTAGCTTAAGCCGCTTAGTTGGTACAACTGTAAAGCCTCCCTCACAGGGGCTGGGTCCTGCAATCTTTCTAAGCAAGCAGGGTAAAGAAAGGTAAAGGGACTTTAGTGTGTAGGAGGCGGGGTCCTTCCCTTGGGGCCCAACGCACGCAATATAAAGAACAAGTTACTCTGGGGCGCACAAGAAGGCAGGGGCCCTACACACACGCAGTGCGCTGCCAAAGTCACCAGCGCGGCGCGCCTGGGGAGCAGCCCAAGCCCCTCTCCCCTGGTCTCTGGGAAGCAGCCCGGCGCTTTCCAGCTTCCCTGGGAGCGGCGCGGCCGTGCGCCCCTGCCCGCGCACCGCGGCTGAGCGAGGGCGCCGGGCGGCCACATGGCGCGCTCGGGGAGATGGCAGCTGCGCTTTGTTTGCAGCAGCGAGAGGTGAGTCACCGGCTCCCGCAGTCCCGAAGCTGGGCACGCACTCGGCCCAGGGAGCTGAAAGATTCGCAGCAGGAGCAGCTACCGACGCGGCAGCAGCCTCTTCCTCCTCTTCCTCCTCCTCCTACGCCGCGGCTGCCGCCACCGCCGTGGCCGCCGCTTCCACCCGCGGCCTCCGCCCCGCCCCCTCCCCTCCTCCCGCGAACTTAGTCAGCGGTTCGCGCCGCCGCGCGCCCATTGGCCGGCGGGACGCGCCGCGTCACAATGGAGCCGGTCGGAGGCGGCGAGCAGGGCAGCGCCGGGGCTTCCCGCTGAGCCCGCAGCCGCCGGCAGCCGCGAAAGTGCGGGCGCGGGGCCGCCGCCGGCGCGCCCAGGGTGGCGCGGGAGCACGCCGCGGGGAGCGCCCGCGCCGGGCGCTGGAGTCGCGCAGGTAGGTCGCAGCGTGACACCCGGCTCCGGGAGGAGGAGCCGAGGCGACCGGGGTGGAGGAGGAGGAGGACGGGGTAAGGGGACGCAGCAGGTGGGGTTGGCCGAGCAGGTGCGGTTACCTGTGCACGCCTCACCTGCGAACCAGGCTGCAGGCAGTGGCGGCTCCGTTGCCTCCGGGAGAGAGGGAGCGGTGCCACCGACAAGACCTCGCCTGTGTGCGGGGGTCACTTGGGCAGGGGGAGTGGGCGGCCGCGCCGAGGTGGTCCCTCTCTAGCCCGGCGGTCTCGGCGCTGCGCCTGAGTGTGAATCCTCGGGGTTGTGCGGGCAAAGGGTTCTGCTTTCCCAGGCTGGAGTCGCGCTCCAGGTGAGCGGAACTCCCCGAGGGTGTCCACATTTGTTTGCTCCTCTTCGCCCCCTGCCCTGGCGCTGTTTTTGTTGGGAAACATTTCATGCTCTTGGATGCCCGTTTGCCTACAATTTGGTGGTAGTGTTGGGCGTTGATTTGTTTGAGGGAGAAGGGGGCAACCAATTAATTCCCCATTTAAAGAGGAGACTCAAGAGGTTCTTCCTCCCGGTTGCAGTTGAGCATGCAGGTGCTGAGAGGTCAGAAGGGAGAAGGCTCAGTGTTGGCTCATTAATCTGTGTCCTCAACTGACTTCCCAAAGTCCATAGGTTGCCTTCAGTCAGATGACATTTGTGGAAGACTTTTCTTTGTGGTCAGAAAGACTACCCCCAGAAGTACAAACCCAAATATAAAAACAAAACCAGTGTGGGAATTTCCTTGAATAAATTCACCTTGCCTAAAAACTTAAAAAAATACTCAACTGTAAAAAAGATATTGGTATGAAAATTTTAAATTGTAAATATGTAACCAAATTAAAGTAGCAATTTGATCAGTGTATATTAAGACAACATTAACGGGTATGTATCTTTATCAGACTGTTCCGATAACCTTAAGTGTAGGACTGAGCATGGAAAAGAAGTCAAATGGCAGTACAATTACTTAATTCCAGTACCCTCCATGTGTACAGGATATACCTCCTGAGAACCCTAAATGCTCTTTGAGCTGTGGGTGCCTCGGTGACTTTCTTTTGCTTCTGGCTTTGCTAATCAGCAGCTTTATGAAAAAAATATAAAATGACAGCTAAAGCTCAGGTAATTGGCCCTGTGTGACTTAAGAATATAAGCCCTAACACGTCTGATATTTTGCTAAACTAAAAACAGTGCTCGTAGTTCAGGTAGAGAATGGGGGAAGAGTTGCCATCGAGCGCACAGTTGGGTCATGGCACCTTAAACTTAGAATACAAAAATTTTTTAAATCTTCATGTTACAAATAAGTTTACTGTTCCTTGAAACGTGTTCTGCTTTTCTTTGATTGGAAAGGTGTTCCAACATGTTCAGCCTAACATGAATATTTTCACATTTT